CTTTCCCGGGTACCAGCCGCTTCTGGGCTCTCTCCACCCGTCTGCGCGGCCACGCCTGAAGCTTCTCCCTCTTGGAAGAGGCACAACCCACTGGCATGGAAGCCGGGTGGACTGGCTCCCTCTCTCTCTCTCTCTCCATCACTTTCCTCCTTTCCCCTGCCATGTTCTGGAAAGGGCAGCCTGAGTGAATGTGGGCAGGTTGCACCCGAGATATACATCTGAGAGCTGAAGGAACATTTATTTTTAATTTAGACTTAAAAAGAAAAAAAAGGAAGTTATAAAATATCTGCTCTTGCTCTGGGATTGTGCAGATGGTGCTGCGTGTTGCCTAATAGGGAATGGGGCTGGCACCCGAGTGCTCCTGGCCCCAGAGCCCTGCACCACCGCCTCCCAGGGCTTCCTCCGGCCCCGCTTGGCCAAGGCGATGGGGGCTTGTCTGCCTTCTCATCTCACCCTCTGGGAACCCCGAGCTGTGGGTTTCCCAAAACTCCTCCTTTAGTTGTTCCTGCCCCTGCGTGTTTCTGCACACACGTCCACACGCACACATGTCTCTGCAGACCTTATCTCACACTGGCTCCTGCTTTGCTGGGCTCCAGGCACACTGACCTCTCCTTCCTGAGCTCCTGCTTGTGTGTTAGAATTTCTCCGCTCTCTCAGCCCAGGCTGCCCAACAGAATCATCTTGTTTGTTCATATGCAGGTGTTATGAGGGACATACTTGTTTGTGTGTTCGTGTGTTTGTGTGTGTGTGTGTGTGTGTGTATAGGGGTGGGTTGTGGCAGGGAGGTTGTTGGGTCAATGGGAGGTTGGAGTAGCCTTGCATGCAATTATGGGAGGAGGGTCGTGGGGGTCTGTCCATTTACTTAAAGGAGGGCGGAGCTATAGCATAGCGGGTAGGGCGTTTGCCTTGCACGCGGCCGACCTAGGATCGATTCCCAGCATCCCATATGGTCCCCTGAGCACCGCCAGGAGTAATTCCTGAGTGCATGAGCCAGGAGTAACCCCTGTGCATTGCCAGGTGTGACCCAAAAACCATTTGGTCTTTCATGGTGGAGTGACTACCAGGAATGGCATCCAGGGCCTCGGCATGCAAGGCTTGCTCTGCACAGGGTGGCAGACCCACTTCTGCCAGGGTCTAGCCTTTGTGTTTACTGAGATTCGGTATCTCTGACATCTGCTCTCGGGAGTCTTCAGAGAAGAGACTTGAAAACGGGCATCGAGAATGGCCGTTCCTTGGTGCTTAGGAGGTTGACTGGGGGACTGGGGAAGGAGTCCCCCCGCCCCAAATCATTGTTGGACCCACAAGTTAGGAATCAGGAGACCTGATTCTACTTTGTTACGAGGCCTGGTTTAGAGCACTAAGGCTCAGTTCTCTCATTTGCAAATATAGAAGGTACTCTCTATTTTGTCTGAGCCCCAGAGTTATAATAAGGTTCATGGTAAGTGACATATGGGGAATTGCTTAGCAAAAGCAGTCACTCATCTCTTTAAGAAAGCAGGAGTCAGAGGTAGGCAGCACATGCCACAGGCCCACGTCAGGGTGGGTGGCTGGGGCAGGAGACCCGCCCTGGGGTTGACCAACAAGGGGAAGAGCTCACTGTGTACAACATGTGCGATGTGTGTAGGAGTATGTGCCAGTGTGTGCATGTGTGAGTGTGTGAATATGTGTCTAAGTGTACCTGAGTATGTGTGTGTTGGGGGGACGGGTAGTGGTGGTGGTGACGGTGGTGTGTGTGTGTGTGTGTGTGTGTGTGTGTGTGTGTGTTGTATATACCTGGGTACTAGTTTAGTAAGAATGCTAGTTCATGGTGGAAACGATGCTAGAGTGTAAAAAAAATTATGCCATATGAGAAAACAAGGGAAAGTGAAAATGAGAAAAAGAAATGATGAACCCGGGAGTTTCGGCAGGAACAAAGACTGTTGCTCAGCCTTGGGGACCTGGCCTGGATTTCCTGCTGGTCATTTCAAAAGGAGACACAGTTAAATGCTCGTCTACAAGACAGATGTCAGCCAGTTACTCAGAAGTCTGATTTCTGGCGCTGAGACAAGATCTCCTCCCCCACCACGCAGGGAACTGACAAAAGGGGCTGTGTTGGAAGAAGCATCACAGGGGCAGCTCTCTGGTAAAGACGAGGAGGCCCTTGTGAGGCTCCTGATTGCCAGGCCCAGTATAGGAGCACAGTTCAGGGGCTCCCTGGGGGCTACAGGGAGAAGACAAGCTCATAACACCCATTACAATAGTTGGCAGGTTAGGGGGACATTACATGCCCAGTGGTGGAGAACAGGCTTGGGAGATTGTCAGATGCGCACACACATGCCCCCCCCACACACCCACATCACACATACACCACGTGCACACACATCTTGCCATACCAAACCTCACACACCTCCCTATGCCACACACACACACACACACCTCTCCACACCACACATACTCACACAATTCTCCACACCACACACGTCTCACATCACACATACACACACATCTCCCCATACCACACACACCACACACATCTCACATCACACATACACATCTTTCCACACCATACACATCTCCCCACACCACGTATATACACACATTTCTCCCCATCATACATACATCTCCCACACACCACGTACCCAAGCATCTCCCTACACCACACACAACGTCTTCCTACACCACACATACACATATATCTCCCCACACGACACGCATCTCCCCATACCACACATGCACACACATCTCCCTACACCACACATACCTACATATCTCTCCACACCACATATACATGCACATCTCCCTATACCACACACACCACAACATCTTCCTACACTGCACATACACTATCTCCCCACACCACATATACACACATATCTCTCCACCCCACATATACGCACATCTCCCACATAACACATACAGTGCATACACACACATCTCCCTACACCACACAAACCACAACATCTTCCTACAACACACATATACACATCTCCACACCATGCATATACAAATCTCCCCACACCACACATGCACACACATCTCCCTACACCACAGATATATACATCTCCCCACACAACACATACACACATCTCCTCACACCACACACAATACACACATCTCACATCACACATACACACATCTCCCCAAACCACACATACACATCTTCTCAGTTATACACACATCTCCCTCACACTACACACACCACACCCCCAGGTCATACACACCCACACATAACATCTTCCCATGCCACAAACACACACTTCAAAAATACACCACATTATACGCAGATATATCCACACATAGCATACACACATATCTACACACACACCATACACACGTATCCCCACAAACAATCACACAACATCACACACTACATATACATGCATCTCCCACACCTCCACCTCACAGCACATACACACACATCTCCCCACACCACACACAACCCACAGGCTCAAATCACAGACATCTCCCCACTCTCACACCCCCACATCACACACATGCCACTTATACACATCTCCTGCCACCACACCCCACACCACACACGCACAATGGCTGGCTCATACCCTGCTGCCAGCTTTAGGCCTCTCTCAGCTTAGCTTCCTGGACAGCTCCTTAATTTTAGGGGTAAGAAGTCAAGAGCCCCACAGGGGTCTGTCTTCAGTTGGTGATTACAGGGGGACAGATTTGAAACCAACACCTGAAGTCTCCATTCACTCCTATGTCCTAAGCAGTCATAAAAAAAAAATAAATTGGGATCTTATTTTTTGGGGAAAAAAATCTCCTAAGAAAATTCCTCACTGAAGATATGGAATGACTTGACATTATATAATTTTATTCAAACTGATATGGGCCAATAAATATAAATGTGTGTGCACGTTCACTGTTATAAAACATTTTATGTTTAAAACATGATCTACTAATGCTGCTGAGGATGTCTAGAATTTGATTTACTGTATAGTATTGAATGTTTATACTTGTTCCTTGCAGAAATTCTTGCCAAGGAGTCATTTTATCTACGGGAATAATAAATAAGTCAATATGTGGATGGTTGTGAACATTTATTCCATATGCAGCAATACTTGGTAGATGTTATTTTGCACAGACGCACCCAAAAGGTAAACTCAAGAAACACATGATTCCTGAAGGCTGAGGTTTCCAGTGCCAAGATCAGATCATTCATCTTGACTTAAATCAGTAAGGCAGCAAATCTAAATCTTAGAAGATTTTGGGGACCTGGGGATATGGAGCGTCTGTCAGTTGTCTATTTCTTCATTTCTTTTTTTTTCTTTCATTCACTTTTCATCAATCGATTTTTATTGACCCCCAATGTTTCTTTCAGGACTTATATGTGGCATAGAATTTGCTTCATGAATGCTCAACCTTAAAGTCCCTCAATTTGTATTTGTAAAAGCACTGAAAGCCTTTGAAATGATGTCAATGTAATCGCCACAGAAATCCTATGAGATGGTGAGGAGTGTGAAGGAGCCAGGTTAGCTGCATAGACAGGGAAAGGTTTCTTTTGTTTGCTCATTTTTATTTTTCTCCTGTGTGTTCCCGTCCCCCTGCCACCCAGTTATGGAAACAAAATGTGTCCACTGTTAAAAAGAACCCCCACAAAAAATAAAATAAAATAAAATAAAAATAAAAAGAACCTAGACATTTCCTGGAGGAACGTGGGACAGTGTCATACCATGCAATGGGACCTCCGAGTCCTCTTCCACTCTCCTGGTCAGAGATACATTACATGTATATCTGTGAGTGTGATTATATAGAAGATATAGAACTGAGATTAGGCTGGAATGTAATTCTGTAAGCAGGAGTTTTCCACCATCCACCGTCTCTGCGGCTGCCGTGTGTGTGTGTGTGTGTGTGTGTGTGTGTGTGTGCGCGCGCGCGCGCGAACACACCATCGATGCGGACAGACTCATCTCATGGGTCAAAGAACTTGGTTTTGTTTTCAAAATTCGAAGAGTCTGCCTTCCTCAGCCTTTCCTCTCTCTCTCTCTCTCTCCTCTCTCCCATAGGTGGTGGGTCTTCTCTTGCCCAACCAGACACTGGCGTCCACTGTTTTCTGGCAGGTAAGTCCTCTACACAGAGGCTCTCGGCAGAGCTTTCCAAATGTCTTTGCCTTACCACCCCCTTTTCACAAATCACTCCTTGCCCCCCAGAAAACTACCTTTTTTGAGTGAACAAATAATACCGTCCCTCTTGATGATTCCAGAGTGTGCCCCTCCTCCCTGCACCCCCAGAGGGTGGTGTTGCCCACATTGCTGATAGAAGGAGCCACAAGGCTGGGAAGAAGCCCTGTCTCTTTCCTGTCCAGGGACCTCAAGGAAAGTCATCCCCTCCCCAGGTCTCCCCATCCCGGCAGTGCTGGAAGAAATCCCCGGCCTTCATGTGGGGCTTTATGTGAACCCTAGAATCAGAGGAAGCTTCTATGGGCTGGCCTGGTGGTGCCCTCCGCTGATGGCTCATTCATGGCCATCTCGGTCCTCAGTTACTTGTCCACAGCCCGTAACCTCGAGGCCCTCAGCCTCTTTGGCAGCCGCTCATCCTCGATCTGTGAGGAAGGTAATCTACCCTGGCCCACAGCAAGTTGGGTGAAGAGGCATCACCGGCACTGCTGCATTCTGTTCCTGGAGACACTCTGGGTGTTGTCTCCCTGCAAACAGTGGGCCTGCACCTGTACGCACACACGCACACACGCACGCACGCACGCACGCGCATACACACACACACACACACAGAAAATTTTAGGGAGAAAAACCTGTCTTTGGGGGAAGTATCCAGTCTTCTCTGAACAAAGCACCTCAAGGTGCCCATGTGTGGTGTTCAGGTAGCTCGAGCATTGGGTGGAGTGATTCTGGAAGAGAAGCAGAGCCGCTGGTCATCCTGGGGCCTAAAACTGCCCACAATGTGCCCCAGTGAGCAATGTGGAAGGATGACAGCAGCCCCTCTGGCTGTGCAGCCCTGGGTTCCTGGAGCGGAGACCATCTCTGGAGCCGGTGGATTACTGGGGTAGGCAGGCGGTGTCCGGTCTGCCAGGAAATAAGGACAGGACACTCCTAGGACTGGAAACTGTCTTGGGGGAAACCTGGAGACTAGGGTCAGATTGACTCATGGCCTGGGGGGGGGCCTGCTGGGGGATAGAGATGTGGCCCATGGCCTTCTGTGGGGGGCACGGCCTTGGAGGGCAGGGCAGGCTGGCTTCCTGGGCAAGGTGAACACCATCTCTGACTTTCCGCCTTTGCCTTTCAGTGGCTGAACCAGAGCCACAACGCTTGTGTCAACTATGCAAACCGCAATGCTACCAAGGTGAGTTATGTGGACATACAGACAGATGGACGGGCAGATGGATGGGCAGATGGATAGACAGTGTAACAGGGGGAGTTGGCCCCCCATTTCCCCCTGCCCTGTGACTCTTCTAGGTTGGTCATTAGCCTTCTCCAGACACCACCTTTCCCTGCCCTGAAGGGGCTGCTCTTGAGGAGGGGGATGGCCTGTGGGGTAGGAGGAGCTGGCTGGGCTCAGAGGTCTCCTTGCTTGGTCTATCCTCGGGCTCTGTCAACCTCAGGGGTCAGAGTTTCCAAGCTTGCTCAGAAGCTGTCTTGACACCCCCCTAGCTGCAAGCACTCCAACCTTGGAGGGCTGCATTTGTAGCTGGAGGGGTCAGGCAGGATGGACTGATACCTCTTCCCAAGTGCCTTTTTTTTTTTTTTTTGCTTTTTGCTTTTCGGGTCACACCCGGCAATGCACAGGGGCTACTCCTGGCTCATGCACTCAGGAATCACTCCTGGCAGTGCTCAGGGGACCACATGGGATGCTGGGAATAGAACCTGGGTCGGCTGCATGCAAGGCAAATGCCCTACCCACTGTAATATCTCTCTAGCACCCTCCCCTGCATTCTTGGGTAAGCTCGGGCGGAGGCCAGGTCACCCACTTGTTATCCAGGATGGAACTGGGCCCCTGTTTTCCTGGCCCAGCTGTACGCCCCTCAACTCCCAACCCTCAGCCTGTACATTTGCCCATGCTTGAGTGCAGAGGCAGCGTGGAGTGAGGCAGAGAAAGGCAGTCTGGGGGACAGAGGTCCTGGCATTTTCTCCCTGGGGGGAGAGCAGAAGATCTGCGGTGGCCTCACCCCGAGAACTACCCCTTCTTCTGATGCTTCCTCGCCCATCCATGCTTCCCTGGCACCCTTGACCCTCAACCAAATACCTCCCAAACTGGCACTGTGGCACAATGCCAGCCATGCCGTTCAGCACTCTCCCAACCCTCCACAGCACCGCGGCATTTCCACAGACCTACGGGACACAGGTGTAATGCGGTGTGCAGAGCTGAGGGCCAGCGGGCCACAGCCCCCCGGCAGTGTGGCCATCCCTGTCCCCAGTACTCTGACTGCGACAGTCTCCTTGCAGCAGGAAGTCTTCCTACTCAGAAACACTCCACTTCTGGGGCTGGAGCAATAGCACAGCGGGTAGGGCGTTGGCCTTGCACGTGGCCAACGAGGGTTTGATTCCCAGCATCCCATATGGTCCCCCAAGCAACCGCTAGGAGTAATTCCTGAGCTCGTGAGCCAGGAGTAACCCTGTGCATCACCGGGTATGACCCAAAAAGGAAAAAAAAAAAAGAAGAATAAACATTCTGCTCTAGCCCTGGTGGAGCTCACCCTCCAGTGGGCAGCATCTGCACCCCAGCACAGGCACGGGGCCCTGGGTTCTCCCCGCCTCCACAGCCTGGCCTGTGTGTGGATGGAACAGCATCAAGGAACCGCATCCCTGGGGCTGGCTGCCAGGCGGGTGAGTGCAAGCCCTGTGCGCCCAGAGGCTCTGACTTCATATCTCTGTCTTCTAGCCTTCGCCTGCGTCCAAGTTCATCCAGGGTTACCTGGGTGCTGTCATCAGTGCTGTCTCCATCGCTGTGAGTGGCCCTCTCCTCTCTCCCACTTCCTCTCAGCCCGGGGCCCCGTCCAGCATGTGGGGATCACACGTGTTTGAGGTTAGGCTAGGTGAGGGGTGTGGGAAGCAGGTTTCTGGGGAACAGTCCCAGGGAGAGAGAGAGAGAAGAGACCTGTGATTGGAAGAGGAACAGGGGGAATCATAATTAGAAGATGCAAATGGAGGGGCTGGAGCGATAGTACAGCAGGTAGAGTGTTTGCCTTGCACACGGCCGACCCAGGTTCGATTCCCAGCATCCCATATGGTCCCCCGAGCACCACCAGGAGTGATTCTGGAATGTAGAGCCAGGAGGTACTCCTGTATATTGCTGGGTGTGACCCCAAAAAGCACTGTAGTACTGTCTTCCCATTGTTCATCGATTTTCTCGAGCGGGCACCAGTAACATCTTCATTGTGAGACTTGTTGTTACTGTTTCTGGCATATCGAATACGCCACAGGGAGCTTGCCAGGCTCTACCATGCGGGCGGGATACTCTCGGTAGCTTGTCAGGCTCTCTGAGAGGGATGGAGGAATCGAACCCGGGTTGGCTGCATGCAAGGCAAACGTCCTACCTGCTGTGCGCTCCAGCCCACCCAAAAAAGAAAAAAAAAGATGCAAATGGAAAAGTTGTCTCTAATGAGAGAATTCACCTATGAAGCTCTGATCTCGTGCCGCTGGAGGGATAGAATTGCTCACAACGACCAACCCCCCCCCCCCCCCCACCATCATGTCGCCGACATGGTTTGCCTCTGTGCTTCTGAAAGTCAGGATTTGAGGTTGTTCTGAAATGGCCTCATTTCCCCGCCCCCCAACCCCCAGGCTTCCAGTAGGTCACTAGCTCTCCAAATAGCTGCTAGATTGAACCGGGGTGGGGGGAGGGGTCCCGTTTCATGCTCAAGATTGCATTCCTTTTCGAAGTGTCTTACCCCAGCAAGAAGCCAGTTGCTGCCAACCCCTTTAGAGGGGGCTCCCTGCTCAAGTGGTCCTGCAACCTAGCCGGAGGCTTCACCCGGGGTCATGCAAGTTGGGGGTCCCTGATTTGAGGGAGCCGTGGTTGCTGGACAAGGTCATCTCTTGAATTTCTTGACAAGGGCGTCCCAGGGCTCATCTGCACAGTTGGAAGATCCTCCCTTCTGCCTCTGAGGATGAGGGCCGAGGATGAGGGGTTGGGAGAGGAAAGTGCATGTGGAGGGCAGGAGGGGGTCCTCGATGTCAGGAGGGGGGTCTCTTCCTCCTGTGGGCCCCAGGAAAGGAGCAGCGGGCCTTGGAGCTCTCTGCAGCTCTGTTCTCATGCTCCGTCCTCGGCCCATCCACTTCTGAGGCCCCAAACTAGCCCCAGCTGACTAGGCCCTCACTAAGGTTACTGGGGACCCAAGGCCTCTGGGGTCTGTCAGAGCCTGACTCTCAGCAGCAGAGGCCCTGGGGTGGGGACATCCTCTCCTGGGCTGTCCAGACTGCCCAGAGGCTGTGCTGGGGCCTTCTCCCCCCACTTCCCACCAAGCAGTTGAGACTCCTGAGCATCCCTGACCACACCTGCCCAAGCTGCACTCTCTGGCCCCAGGTCCCAGAAACTCCAGCCCCCCCACCCCCCACACACACACACACCAACATCCACATCCTGGGTCCCCTCCTGCCATTGTTCGGCAGGGTCTCACCACAGGCCCTGGTCTTCTTCCTCAGAGCCGCCCGGCCCAGAAAGCACATGTTAATTAGGCTGCTGATTGATCGAGGGCCCCGTGGGGGGCCCTGTCCTCTCTGTCCCCGAGTCTCAGCGGTGACGTCCTCTGCCTGACGTCTTCACACAGTGAGGGTCTAACTCCGGCAGATGGAGCGGAATTTCTGACTTGGAAAATCTGCAGCTCGCTTGCCTTTCTTTTGTGTGTGTAAATCACAGAACCGCCAGAGAAAGAGGCTTTATTTTCTTGTCCTTTCCCTTGTTCTCGGAACCCCGGGCCCGCGGCCTCATTAACTGATCTCTGCTTCAATTAGTGACAAATCCCCTCCCAGGGTGAGCCTGTTAGGAGGAGATGACCTGCAAACAAGTGTCAGGGCCCCGGTGGTTGGCCCAACTCTGGTTTTAATTAAAACGAGTCCCTACAAGCAGCAGTGTGGACGGGTGGGGGGTGGGGGGTGGGGTACAGGCCCAGGGCAGATCCCGGGGATGGAGAGACACTGGGGGTGTCAGCCTCCTCTCTGGGACCGTCCCCCCCCCCAGAGAGCCCCTGACCTTGGCCAGCAGCCCCCCGGATCTGGGAGCTCGGGTTGGCATTCTCCCTGAAAGAAGTCTCACGCAGGTGGTGGGCCACGGGCTCGGAGTTCGCAGCCTTTTGGCGAACCCTCTAAATAGATTTGGCAGTGTCTGGTTTCTTGCTCAAGAATAAAAAAGAAATTTCGTCTTAAGTTATTTTTGAAATCTAACAGTTTGCCGTCTTTAACAAAGGAAGCCTCTGTCAGTCCTCACGGGTTTTAGTTCGGGAGTCTATGCTCAGCGCCCCCCCCCCCACGCCCCAGGCCCAACCTCAGAAGGCGAAGGCCCATTTCCGCCCCGTAGGGTATAGGGGTGCAGGGATGTTGGAGGTGCACAGACTTAACGGCGTGTCCTTTACGGTGTCTCAGGGGCAGCTGAGACTCTGTAGAGCTGTGGCATTGTGAAAGGGATCTTTGGCTGAAGGGGGGCTCATTCACACAGGATAGCCAGAGCCAAGGCCCAGTGGGGCTGGAGGGCGCCTGACAGAGGGCACTGCGCACCAGGAGGCATGCAGGGGAAGGACAGGGTGACGGGTGACCCCAGCCCAACGTGGGCGATGCCAGAAGTCAGAGAGTTGGGGGACTGGGCTAGTCCAGCAGGGGTGGTGGTTGGCCAGGCCATGGCTCTAGGGTCCTGAGGAGACTGAAAGGGGCTAGAGAGAGTGACCTGGAAGGAAAGTTTGTTCCCAGGCAGGAGCCAGAGGCACTGAGGTATCTCATGCCCAGTTCCCAGAACCTTCACCTGCAGCCAGGTGGAAGCTGGCTGAGCCCTTCCCTGTTAGGCAGTGCTGGCCTCTGGGCCAGGGAACCCTTCCTGTACAGGATGCTGTCACTGTCTACTAGACTCTGGGGTTCACAGTGTCCTGAAGAACCCTGACATGAGCTCCTGGTCTCCAGTTCTTCCTGACAGCTCCATGTCCCTGGTGGTCAGACCGTCCATTCTAACAGCCACAAGGGCGGGAGGGCGGGAGGTCTTCAAGATGCCAGGCTGAGGAAACTGAGGCACAGCAGGGCAGAGTTTCAGAGCTGTAATTCAAGTTCTGGCCCAACCACATAACATAACTCTGCTCCTAACATACGGACTCCCTTTTTCCCTGCTCCCCCAGTGGGATAACGAGGTGTGGAAAGCCAAGTAGTGCTGTCAGCTTTCAGATGGGGCAAGCCTCTTACCAGAGCTCCTCCCCAGCTACCCCCGAGAACAATGGGTAACAGAAGAAAAAAAATTGAGAGATTCTTTTAAGTGTAATGGGGTTGGTTAGTATCTTTGCTCACCTTCATACTCAGCTCCTAGACCTGTGTTTCCTGACTTGTCAAGTCAGCAGTATATATTTGTGTGCCACAGGTCCAGAGAATGCCCCTTTCTGTCAGACCAGGACTGGGAAACTCTGAGGTACTCTTTGAGGTTGAATGTATGCCTGAGAATATTCTCTGCATTGGGGGGGGGGCATCCTCAGTGTCATCAGTTGTTGGGGGTATTCCTCATAGTGTTCTCAGTGGTTATGTGTATTCCTCAGGGTGTTCTTTGAGTTTGGGGGTTCACCTCAGGGTGTTCTCTGTGGTTGGTGGTTCACCTCAGGGTGTTCTCTGTGATTGGGTTGGGGGTTCACCTTAGGATGTTCTCTGTGGTTGGGGATTCACCTCAGGGTGTTCTTTGTGGTTGGGGATTTTCCTCAGAGTGTTATCTGAGGTTATAGGTATTCTCAGGGTATTCTCTGTGGTTTGGGGTTCACCTCAGGGTGTTCTCTATGGTTTGGGGTGTTTCTCAGGGTGTTCTCTGAGGTTATGGGTATTCCTCAGGGTGTTCTCAATGATTATGGATATTCCTCAGGGTGTTCTCTGTGGCTCGGGGTTCATCTCAGGGTGTCCTCTGTAGTTGGGAATGTTCCTCAGGGTGTTCTCTGTGCTTAGGTATTTCTCAGGCTGTTCTCTGTGATTGGAAGTTTCACCTCAAGGTGTTTTCTGTGGTCAGGGATTTCACCTCAGGGTGTTCTCTGTGGTTGGCGTTATTCCTTGGGGTGTCCTCTGTGGTTGGAGTCTATTCCTTGAGGTGTTTTCTGTGGTTGGGGTTATTCCTCAGGGTGTTCTCTGTGGTAGAGGGCTCACCTCAGGGTGTTCTTTGTGGTTGAGGGTGTATCTCAAGCATTCTCTATGGTTGAGGTTATGCCTCAGGGTCTTCTCCTTGGTCCGGGGTGGGTCTCCCGTCCTGATTTTTTTCCCTCGGGGCCTAATGGAAATAGGAGGAAAACGTCCCATGCATTCTGGAGCAGACTGTTGTCTCCCTGCTTCCCCGAGGAATGGCTTCCATGTTGGAAGACCCATTGCATGGACCTCTAGCAGAATCCTAAGTGTTCTATAAGCCTGCAGATGGTAACGCTGGCAGTGGCAAGTCCAACACGAATGTCGGCTCCATATCTATTCTGGGGAGGACAAGATGTCGCTCCCTTCTAAGGAGAAGGAGTCTGATATAATTGGTTTCCCAGCAGGTGGCCAGCCTGTCCCTGTGGGGTCTGGTTCAGGAGTCAGGGTTGGTCACTTGTCACAAGCAGACAAGCCAGTTAGATGCATCTGGGTTTGATTCACATTTTAGCCTGTGCATACATGCGTATTTATTCCCAGCCATCCTGACCCGAGCCTGCTGCCAAACAGCTTGGCTAGAGCGAAAGAACAACGACTTGGCCTCCACATGGTGGGTCACGGGTTCATCTGGCTATGGCTCGCCCTCTGGTGGGCATTTGT